TATATATACATATTGTTACGTTACGGCTCAGAATAACTAAACAGAGAAGAGATCACAACTTTTGTGTATTTACAAAATATATTTAATTTATTTAAAATGCCATTATAATACGGTAATTAAACAAAGATAGAAACTAAACATATAAATGAGCTTAGAGGATGGTGGTGGCTAGAACCTTAAGCAGCAACTTAAGTAGTTTACTTACAGATCAGAGAGGAACTGAAGCCGGACAAAATAACAGGGTTCTAGGTAATAAAGATGTCTTGAGTTGTCTGCACTGGATCCCAAATTACAACTGAATTACTTAGGGTAGTAAGATCATTTAAGATGGGTGTGACACTTTGCATATTAAGGGTCTCATCCAATCAGGGCACCAATTCCAACTAATCCACCAATTAAAAGCTACAGTAAAGTGGCCGATAAACATATACATAATTAAGGTAATAAATAATTGGTTTGGACCAACTGAAAGTAAATGTCCAGGATGTGAAACCACATTCAAGTCTTGGAGATTCCAAGCTCAGTTCATTTACCTTCCGTTAATTAAATACTGACCACGGGTAAAGGAACTTGTGTGTCATAGGACAATAGCATACTGTATTATAATAATATTTATGAGCTTTACAAAGTAAAACAAATTAAAATAAGGAAATAGTACTTTCCTAGAAAATGTTGAGTAAAACTTAAGGTCATAAAAAAGCTAACTACAAAATATTATATTATATAATTATATAAAGAAGTTAATTAAAACTAGGCAAGGATGTAACAATATATATATATACATATATATATATATACATACATACACATATACACATATATATATACATATATACACATATATATACATATACACATATATATACATATACGCATATATGCACATATATACATATATACATATAAGATATACATACATATATACATATACATATATATATACATATATATATATACATACATATACACATACATACATATATATATATACACACATGTATATATATATACACACATATATATATATATACACACACATATACAGTACACACATACACACACACATATATATACACATACACACATATACACATACACACATGTACACATACACATAGGCGTGATCTACAAATTATCCCCAACGACAGAAACGGGTCAAACACGTTTACTATTGTTATATGACAAGCTCCCAAACACGTCTGTGAAATGCCGTTTGGAAGCTTGTCATTTGAGCTGTTTATTCCGTTTGGAAGTTTACTCCTCCCTTTTCATATGGTTGACTGCTCGTGAATTGCAAATGTTAATGCGTTCAGCGGATATTGGAATTTGATCGTGATTTATATTTATAATAGTAGTACCCCAGTAGTAAAATGCTAGCCTACGCTAGGTGACAGTTCACAGAAGAGAAAGCAATCACCAGTAACCTTCCTACCCAGATTATATTGTGCGATGTTCGAATTGACCTATCAAAACAAGTACCTTTTGCCCAACTTTCCAATTCCCATGTGCCTGCACAACCCGCACAATACAGCATGTAAACACTGACCTGGATCAGCCGCAGTTAAAGAACCACAACGTGATATCGCACGTAGAACAACGTATGCTACGGCATTGTTTGTTTTACTGTGTAGGCTATATGAATTTAATACATGTTTGTTTTATTATATATATTATTATGTTTTAAAAATGGTTAAACCATCATCCAGCAATAGTATTCTAGTATATCACTGTTTACTATTTTAATGTTTTCATGTAGGCCTATAGTGAATGCATCAACACCCGCCATGTTGATATATTCACTATTATATTCAGTAAAGATTTTTGTATTGCCCCATGCGTATCATATTTTCTTATGTAGCCAAATGTATCTAGAGGAAGAATAGGGTAGGCCTCGTATATCATTTTTATCCATGTACACTATAAATTGTATATAATACTTGTATTTAATGGACCTAAATAAATCATCGGGAATATGCATCGATAACTTAAATAAAATCACGAGGCAAATATTAAAACAGTGTAAATATTTATTTCATTTCCTTCAACTTAACTTATATACAATGAAACAGATTCTATCTTGTTGGCTTATTGCTTGGTAGTCTGCCCTTTCTATCTCATATAACCTTGGTCTGATTCTATTAACTGAAGGAAAGAAGTCAAGTTGTTCCTAATTTCAGGCCGCATTTTAGAACATATTGATGTTACATGACTAAATGCCGATATTTCAGGCAAAAATAAAACAATTTGGCAACGCAAAAGTTGTAAGCATGAGACTTTACATAGTTGGACTCTGTTATTTTTCTGTTATCAAATATTAAAATAAGTGGAAATAAAGTGTGGATCCTAGCAGTTGATTTTAGTAAAGCATTTAACCGTACTCGTACTATCCTTATCGAAAATTTGATAGGCCTATCTCTTGATGTTCGGAAACCTCTTATACAATGGTTCCACCAAAGGAGCTGTTGCGACGTCAGAGCTTCTGCCAGTCATGTCAAAGAACTACTCATAAAAAAACGAGTTCTTATGAAAGTACCTTTAAGTAAGATGCCTATAATGGGACCATTCCGAACAGTAACTGAGCAATAGTATAGGTATATTAAACCAATATCAATTATGGCACTTATTTACTAGGTAACTAGAGGCAATTTTTATCACAATATAGAAGCAGAACGGGTTGAAGTACTGATGCAAGTGCTTAGTCAAGTGGAGATAGCCAAGCCTATTTTCAAAAACAAGATTCATCGTATCGCAGCAGTATAGAAGGCTAAATGTCAGATCTAATTACTTGTGTCGTCCCAGGATAGAAAATTAACCAAATTTAAATATTATGATATTTTATTTTAATTTAAAAAAAAAGGTTGTTTTGAACAATATACAGCTAAACTTGCCTAAGTCTACTGTGCCTAAGTCAAATAATTTCTAAGGCGATCTTATTTTACATGCCAAATTGTTGTGTTTTCCAATAATTAGCAATCTGTAAGTCAAATTTTATCTAAGTCAAACAATATTTCAATGGCATTTTGAATTCGATTTAGGCAAGTTCAGCTGTATTTATGATTCTGTGTCTTATTTTCAGTTCATGTCGTAAAAGTGTTCACAACTATTAGTGTTGTAATTATTGTTATCATATTTGGCTATATATTTTTAATACTGTTTAAATTTAATATTAAATTTAAACAGATAATGAAGTGCCAAATTTGATTTGTCCTCATGACACCAGTGAAACCACAGATCCAGGCAATACAACATCATCAGCAACCTGGAATGATCCGACAGTCACTGACAATGTTGATTCTAATCTAACAGTCACTTGTTCTTCTGCATCTGGTTCATCGTTTGATGCTGGGTCAACAATAGTAAATTGTTCTGCTACTGATAATGCTGGAAACACAAACAGCTGTACATTTAACGTTACAGTCAAAGGTATGATGCTTTCTACAGTAATTACATATTATATATGGTAATGTTGCATTGGACGGCTAACATCTATTAAGCACATGTTGCCCATGTTTACCCACACTCCTGAAGGGGGAAGATGGAATTAATTCAAGATTCAAAATAACTTTTTCGCAAATTTAACTTCACCACTTGGCAAATACCCCATGATTTAAAATGATGTCATGGGACCTCTTTGTTTTGACTTTGGGCAACTTGAACTCTCTAGAAGCTCGAAGGTTATATATTTTTTTCGTATCAGGTAGCAAATTATGAAATACATGCCCCGGGTGTTTAACATTTTTTTGAAATATTCCTTGCACAGTTTGTCCCTTCTTGGAGTGGAATAACAGGGTCATCATCTACAAGTATGATGTATTCAATTCAATTCAATTTTCTTTTATACAGTATATATATATATCTGTCTCTTATACACATCTTATTAAAACAGTGTAAATATTTATTTCATTTCCTT